TAAAAACCAAAACAAAATTTTTTCAAGGCCTTTTTTTTTTTTTAAGGAGGCCCCCCCCCCCCCCCCATCTTTACAGACGCAATATTTCCATTGTGAAATGAATATCTGGGAACAGAACAGAAAGTTCTCTTGAACAAAAGAAAATCAGCCTAAAAAAAAGTTGAAAGTGTGTTTAAACCTTTCCACATTCAATCATCACATGAGCATAGAGAATTGATTCCGTTTACGCGACTACTGTAAATGATTTGGATGCGTGGTGCCGTTTACGGTCACGATTGAAGTCAGTGTTATCAATTTCATGAGTGTATGTTGACATTGACAGCAGACTGAAGCTAAAATCCAGAAAATGTCATTTCATGTAGACAAGGCTACAAATATGCATAATGTGTAAATAGTGACTTTGAAACAACAATTCGGACAAGTACATACAGTATGTGATGCAACCAACTCTATACATACAGTATGCCATTCACACCAGTGAGTCCATTTTCGGTACATTCAGGTAAATAAATGGCTCCTTGTACAGTTTGCATGACAATGGCCGATACAAAGGGGGCGTACCGAAAGGGAAAAGGTGCGTTATCAGCAGAGGGGGACAAAAAGCTCATCGGTGATGAGGTCATTTTCAGTGATGAAGGCGGCAAAGCTCTGCGGGTCTTGGATGGAGTTTTTCTTTAAATGTAACAGAGTTGTTGTGCGTGTTTGGTAAACAGGCTTGTTGTTTTTGGAAAGTGGCATCTCTAAAAACAGGGTTCACTTTTCAGGGGCATCTGAACAAATGAGCTGTATAATGAGTCAGCGGCAGCGTCTCTATTGGCGTCGCTGTCCAAATCCCCATCTGTGACTTCCATTGGTAGAGGCTCGTCTGAGCAGATCAACACGTCAATTGGGCCTCGAGTGCTCTTGAGGTGGATTTGCAAGCTCTGTGAGGACAGACAGAGGCAGGCAAGAGTTTTGACACACCGCTTGATAAATTCATCGTTCAGGGTTTGGCCCGCACATCTATCACGACATTGTGGTTAATGTGTAGGAAAACGGGACGCCTTCTCCCTTGTGACTTGCATACAAGTGCATCCAACTCGGGTTGACAAAACGTACTTCTTTTGGGTGCGTCACGTCCAGCCTCGTGTCTTCGGGGCCTTTGACCACAAGCACAGTTTGCTCCCTCATGATGGGAATGCTTTGAATATCCTCATAAGTCACATAGGCAAACGTGAAGAACATTGTTAAGGAATACGCGATTCCACAATCCTGACAATGCAGTCCAGCACCAAAATAAGCATGCATGCTCTCTGATCAATGAATGGGTGAAGTACAATCTGGAATAATAATCATAATTTTTTTTAAAAAAAAAGGATATCTGCTGGTCTGCTCGTCCACACATATCCCATGAATTGCTCTCGTGCAGCTTTCGATCAGCTCATCCAGCTTCTTCTCTTCTTCAGAGAGGTCATTCATCATTTTAATTGTGTCTTTGTTGAGCCAATCACCCCTGCGGACACATGGCAAAAAAAAAAGCACAATACACACATACATAAGCAATTTGGAAACCGTATGATATTTAGTCATTTGGCATCAGCAAAACGGTGTGGATATTACAATAAAATACATCCTGAATTATATAGCGCTTTCACAACAGCTGCAGCTGTAACAATTAAAAAAATAAAATAAAAAATCTACACAATCCTTTTAAAACGCCAGCTTTTTGTGACGGACAGAATTTAATTCAAAGCTTCTTTTTCCACCAATAATGTGGCCTATAGCCTGTACAAATAAATGTTGACATTTCATCTGGGGAGTGAGGGAGTAAAAATGAACCGAGATGACACGCTTGCACAAGTGCGCACACCCTCTGATAACTAAGTTATGAGGGTATTGGTATTGGAACAGAGCCATGGTGACTTATTTTTTAATATCCACCATATATTCAAACCCACACACTGTGTACTTACAACCACTGTACATGATTCTTATATATCTTTTTGATGAGGTTGATCCCCTCCAGGACGTTTGTGACATCATAGACACGTCTTTTGGAGGAGTTGAGTTCCTGGGTCACCAAGTTCAGGTCCAAAACGCCATCTTTCGACTGCTGCAGCATGTTCAAAAACTTCCTTGTCAACAAAACGAGCGACGTGTCGTTCCGCGACCTTTTCAAGTTGTGTGGATTCATACTACAGGGAGGAGCTGGGAAGGAAATAAAGAATGAGCAACTACGACTGAAACAGCAACAAAAATCAAATGCAAGGATTTATTTCTATTGATTATTTTCTTGTGGTAAAGAAGCATGAGAAACAAAAAAAACGTTACTTTCTTCTCCTGGAGGTGGATTTAATGTGCTGGGCTCATAGACAATTGACACCACGGCATAATTCTGCCAACCTGGGTCCCTTCGCTATGAAAAAAAATACACACAAATTTCAGAATGCAAACAAAATATTCAAACAATCAAATTTAGATTCAGCAAGACAGACCAAAAAAGGGGGGTCACACCGACGTTGGGCACAAATTGGTGCATTTCCAACCGGTTTAAAGAGTCATAACATTCTTGCTATTTGTCAAAGGAAAATGATACATATTTCACTGGTTAGCACCAGTACCCAGTTTAGCACCAGTCCGAAATTGGCTCTACCTCCGGTGCTTGAAACTGGTGCTTAAACTGGCCCCAATTATAAGTTGGGCCAGACTCTGGCATCAACTACGTCAGGGGGCGTGTCAGCCGGGGTTGTCATGACGATCGCAGATGTAGAGGAATAAAAAGGATATCAGCGTTTGCTGATTGCATGTCTCTGACTGTTATAGACGACATACTGTACAAGTATGTATAATCGATGCTATTCTAAATTTCCTAGCAGATCCTAACGGTGCATTATTAGTAGTAGTAGTAGTATGATTGTTAAGAGCACAGGCTCTCTTGGGTAAATGTCGACGTAATCAGTGAGGCTTAGTCGCTTTACGATGACGTAATGACATAGCTCCGATTTGGCTCTTTGCCGGTGGAAAACCAAACACGTCCTTGGTAAACATGTGTTAAGCCCCAACCAAGCGCTGGCCCTGGCGCCGAACTAAGTTTTTTTTTTGGGGGGGGGGGTGGAAAGGGATACGAGTGAGCTTTTGAAAATACAATGTGGGCTATGCTCATTCACACTACACACTCGAACAGAACTACACAAAGGAGATTTCGTTATATAATGCACCATGTTGTGAATAATGACAAGAAAGTCGCCCATTTTTGGTTTGGTTGACAGATTACCTTTACTGGCTCATCAGAACTTTGATCCGACCAGGTTAATGACTGTGGTCCGGCCTGCGACGCCTGCTGCGACTCATCAAACGCATTCGATAGCTCTTGCTTTCTACGGGAGGAAACATCGGATGTCCGATCTTTCGAACTTCCATTTGTTTCTTCTGATCCCTCAGTTGTGATCATTGCGTCGCCCAGCATGTCCAGAAATGTTCCAGCGGTTATTCTGCTAGCAATTAACGTGCCGCACGAGCTCACGCGTATAACCTACCTGGACCATTCTAATACAATTATCTACGCACGCACGGAGATGTATGTTTGCACTGCGTTGCTTCTTGCACAAAGCGTAATTTATGTGGTTAACACAATTTTGGGGGGAAATTTCTAACCTGATATTCGCACCCGCAATAACCAAAGCAGCTAGCTAACGTTAAATCGTGACGTAAAACCTGCACACCAATGAGCAGTGAGAGTTGGAGACACGTGACTTTTGTTTTCAAGTATCCAACGTTGACCCGGTTCCATATTTAACGGTTCAAAGATTTAACAAATAAGCTTCGCTTTGTGATTTTTTTAGAGGCGGCTGAAGTACGCATTCTATGTACATTTCATGAAAAGTAAAATGAGTCCTCCTGATTTCACGTAACAAATGGTTTATATATATAAAAAAAACGAACTGTAGTCTTTGATTTCACCATCTATTGGCTACTTGTTTAATTTTGAAGTCTTCCAAACGTCAAATAAAATGGTCTTTTTTTTTAACCCGACCAAGGAATCTGTTAATACAATCGGATCATAATTATTACGTTTTTATGAACACCGAACCACGTATTCACAGCAGTAGAGCAGATTGACAAATGATTGTATTTTTTTTTTTGTCCAGCATTTGTTTGAATAAGGTAGTGTCTGCATTAATCACAGCTCTGAGCTTCACACAAGCTGGTCTAACTTTACAAATGTTATACCGTGATGTGACCGTAAATGTTTCTTCATATTTAACATAGTTTTTGAAATTAAATAACTTACCAGCCAGCAGATTTATTTTACTCCTTTTACAAAAAGGTAAGGGACCAAAATAGTAAAACTCAGTGACTTGGATCAGTAACTTTACCCTCATTTAATGACCAGCCTGAAAATTGAAGCACATTAGTGCTTGTTACAGAAAAAAATAAAATCAGCATATTGGGGAAATGCACATCACTGTGTGAGACTGGCTAAGTTTAATCAGCATTTTCCAATAACCTCTGAATGAGCTGTGGAGCCTGGTACTGCTTAGTCGGTGCATCTGTAAATACTTGACACATACAAAAATAGATTTTACGAGACTACAAATTGATTCAAAAGCTTTTGCTTGCCCTTTCACTGAGCTTTGTTATAAACATGTTAGTCTCTGCTTTTCATACAATGAATATACAAGCCTTCCAAATACTCCCGATGTCTTTCCCGATACTACTGGTTTGCATTATACTGAATCATGGAATCACATTTTTGAAGCAACATTCCTCAAATTTGAATTTTGTCCTTTTTTCATAGAAATAAAAACCACCAAATAACCAGGAAGCAGCTCGCAATTCGTGCCTAAAAAAGGCATTTTTAAAAATTGCCTTGATTACAAAATAAAGAATTAATACATATCAGTCATCATCATCAAACTTGATCTTCTTCCCTTGGAAAGCCAAAATTTGCCCTTGCTGCTCTTTTCTTTTCTTACTGGCTTCCCACGACGGATGCAGGGCCTGTTGTGGGGCCTGATGGGGAAGACCGCGGCGATCCTGCTGCCTCACCGCATCACCTCGGCCGCGCCCTCTGAAGTTTGTTCTCTCTGAATCGGAACGCCTGGCGTCAGGCCTGTTGACCTTGCTGTTCGTTGGTCCTCGCTCCTCTTTTCGGAACTTTTTATCAAAGTCTCCACGGCCCCCGCCCAGCGGTTTCCCTTGCCCCCTAAACGGCTTCCCCCTTCCGCCCCGACTCGGTTTTGTTTGAGACAAAGAGCAGAAGACAGTCTGAAGTTTGGGTGCTTTGGTCTTCAACCGTGACTCAAGCTCATCGAGTTCACATTGAAGCTCGTCAGCCGGCTTGGCTTTTTCTGCTGAATCCTCTTTCGTCTTGTCGCCTTCTGCCTTTTTACTCTTCTTTTTCTTAAATTTGCTGACTTTGCCCACAAAAAAGTCATTCTCGCTATCGCTCTCTTCCTGGGACGACTGCTTGTGGAATCGTTCCTCAGTGCTGTCGTCAAAGTACGGTTTGTCCTCCTTGTCAGAGAGCTCTAAATCGCTTTCTTCTTCTTCTTTTTCTTCTTCTTTGGTGGGCTTGGACACCACTTTTGGTTTATTCTCCTGAGCCTTTGCTTGCACCACTTTCGGTTGATTTTCCTTTGCTTGCACCACTTTCGGTTGATTTTCCTGAGCCTTAGCTTGCGTTTTTTCCTGAGCCTTAGCTTGCGGTTTCTTCCTTGGCTGTTCTGTTGGCTCACACTTTTTGACAATTTCAGCCTCCACGGTTACTTTCTTGTCAGCGGCCGGAGTAGCTTGAGTAGATTCCATTTTGCCCTCATCAGGTTCAGAAATAGTAGGCTCATCTTTTGTGTCTTTATCATCGTCGTTAGTGATTTGCCCCGCTTGTTCAGGACTTTTTTCCTCCTTTGCTTCCTTCTTCTTTTCTATCTTTTTAGCTTTAGCATCCGGTGAGTACGGAGCTAACATCCCATCATCCTTGCTCTTCTTCTTTCGTTCTGCCTGCTTCCCTCCCTTCCTCCTCTCGTCACTGAAAGCCTTCACAGCGGCCTGGATGTCCTCGATCTTTTTCTTGAACTGGGGGTGGGAGGCTATGCGAGCTATGGCTCTGTCGCTCATGGAGGACTTTGGGTTCTTGCACACTTCGTTAAAGTTGAGATTCTTCTGCAAGGCAGTCTTGGTGACCTAAGGATGGATCAAAATAAGTATGTTTAAAACAGGCTTTACATTTCGCTCTAACCCCTGAATGTAGATACATACAAGGTCCGGTCGGAGCACTTTCATTGCGTGGATCTCCTCCAACAATCTGGCGACCCTCCTCTGGTTCTTCTCAATGGCCGCCTCTGTGCCCTTCTTGTTCTTCAGCCCAGCGATTTGACGAATGAGCTTCCTGCTGAGCAGTGCCCGCACTCTCTTCACCTCTTTTCTCATGTTCACCACCTCATTGTTCAAGTTCAGGACCTGAGGCTGCTTTTTAACTTGAACTTGATCAGGCTTGATCTCCGTGTCAACTTTGGGCTGTTTGGCCTCCTCCTCATCTTCATCACTGCAGTCCTCTTCTTTAAATTCTTCTGAATCTCCTCCAACTTCTTTCTCTCCTATTTCCCCTGCTATTTCTCCTCCCACCATGTGCTTCTCTTTATTGTCTCCCTCCACATCTCCATGATTGGACTCTTCTCCCGCATCTTCCTTTTCCTTCTCCCCAATATATGATGCCATGTTCTCTACGTTGTCCTGAGAAGCAGTCATCTGTTAAAACATGAGCACATTAGATCAGGAGGGAAAAGTAACGAATAGGTCTACTTAACCCGTGTATTAAGCATAATGGTCACGTACCCCGCAAAGGTTGAATCAAAGCAATCAGCCTCATGTTTGTTGAATTTGTTGGGTGGTTTTCTGAGTAGAAACGTGTTATAACACTGGTGGAATGCCATAAGATTTTTCAAATGTAAAATATGTGCCATGGCCTAATACCAGTGTAGGTAATTATGTTGCAAATATGCACACAGGAAATATTCTTATTAAAGTAATTCGGACATTAAACTAAAATAATGACAAATTATCCAATGTCACTTTATCGATGTCACAAATAACATTTCTTGATTTATATATCTATTCCAGCAATAGTTTTGGTGACAAACAGAACAATTACGTGTCTTTCAATTAAATGGTGTACGGTACAATGAAATGCGCTGTCGAATATTTTGATAGAATGTACTATTGCTGACACTGGTGGTATGCCGTGACATTATTCGAACGTAAAGGTGGGCGGTAACGAAGTTGCAAATAGGGTGTTTAAAATGCTTCAAACTTTCACGAAACATGTTGCAACGTAGCTTACAGTCCGATTTCATTCTATATAGGAAGCATTGATGGAAGCTACGTGATAATGCAGCGAGCGCACAAGCGTGGCGGGGCGAGCGTGCACACGTTTTGCCAGGCTGAGTTGAACAAAGTAGCTTGAAGAAGCGTCTGCACGACGGGCAACTAGCGGATGCCTAAAATTAATACAAAGCGATCAAAGCACGTCTCACTACGACACGGCTTACCGTAATTAACAGGCAATACGCTCTCGACGAGAGACGAAGGCTGCAAACGCTTAGGGGGCGGCCATGTTTGACGTCGCTACGCCTCTGATGTCGTCATCACGTCAGACGTCGCGTCAGGGAACGCGGCGCGTCGTGAAAAGGGGAGGGGCCTCGGGCGCACTGTTATTATTTATTTCTTTGTTTCGCGTGTATTAAACAAAAACAACGGTGGCTAATTCACGGCCTGTGCATATTTCGCGAGAGCGAATGACAGTCGCGTGCTCCCGCTACCGCACCGACACATCGGGAAAATCATCAGGGGGAGGATGAAGCGGCGCAATGCGGACTGCAGCAAACTCAGACGGCCGTTAAAACGGAACCGAATCACCGAGGGTATATATAGCAGGTACAGGGAAAAACGGGTTGGAGGGACGTTATTGTGTAACGATGGCGCCGATCTCAATGTCGACATTGGTCTTGCATGCTGCGCCTCATTCATATTGAACGAAGATGTGCATTACGAGCTCTTCGAACAGCAAGATGAACATTCTGGTTTATGGTGTTGGGGGCTGGCGAATGTCTGTTATTTTGTTCCTGGCGAGCTAACGTTCCTTCATTCAAATCTGGCTCCGCATTTAAATTGCGTTTGCTAGAAATCGCCCAGTGGTTCGCGTGAGTCATCCAAGAGAGACCCCCCCACCCCCCCGAACCCCCAAGCATCATTCCAAACGGATTTAGTTTGACTGAATAATGTCAAAAGATGAATGATTTGAGATGCACAGTCGAAGGTCTGAAAGAATGATTTGCGATGCACAGTCGAACGTCTGAATATTGTCTCCTGCTGAAATGCTGTGTAACAAAGGAATGTATAGAAAACAGTACTTCTTTAAAAATCCCAAAATGCATGTAACGTCTGTCATGACTCATGATCTTGAAACGTTTTAAATGGTTTTGCAGTATTTTGAGCGCACACAATTTCAGCCGATTACATACCGTGTTGTAAACATGCTATTATAAATCACAGTTCGCACAATTATCCGTGTAGCATAATTAGCCTTTAATTGCCGCACACGCCAAAACGCAACCTCTTAACCTTTGAATTAAGTATCCCTCTAACCATTTTCTCAAATAATGCTGATCGCTACAAAACTACCAGGTCATACAAATCTGCACTCAACGATTGTAAGCAGCTGGCTTTTGTCCCAAACGTCATTTATCTCCAGTGTGTCTTTTGTCTTCCTCTCCTCGCAGTACATTCCTGTATCTGAAGTTCCTGGTGGTGTGGGTGTTAGTTTTGCTTGCTGACTTTGTGCTGGAGTTCAGGTTCGAGTACCTGTGGCCCTTCTGGCTTTTCCTTCGCAGCGTCTACGATTCCTACAGATATCAGGGGCTGGTAAGAGGATGATAAAAATCCAGTGCATCCCCAAAGTCCGCCCGTCTCATGAGATACTCAATTTGTTGAAGTTTCTCCCTTTTCCCTACCTCTCTGTTTCAGGCATTCTCATTCTTCTTTGTGTTTGTGGCACTCACGTCAGACATCATCTGCCTCCTGTTCATCCCTGTCCAGTGGCTGTTCTTTGCTGCCAGCACCTACGTATGGGTGCAGTATGTATGGCACACAGGTCAGTTCGCGGTGTATTGCATTCCCGCTTTTTGTTTTTGCGCAGGCGACAGTTTAATTGGGCATAAACGTCTGGCCTCGATGCGTGAAAAGGATCGAATCTGTCATTTGCCCACTGACCCGCTTGCTGGTTGAAAAGCACCATAAGAGTGGTCGTCTTTTGTGCAAGAGAGAAACCTTGACTTTGTTTGTTACACCCAGAGAGAGGAGTGTGTCTACCCACTGTGTCGTTGTGGATCCTGTTTGTGTACATCGAAGCTGCCATCCGCTTCAAAGACCTGAAGAACTTTCATGTCGACTTGTGTCGACCTTTTGCTGCTCACTGGTAAATCTTCTGTCAAGTATCCTTATACCACATTGCAGGGGCTCGTCAAACCGTTTAGCTTGTAGGTCACCGGCGTCACAATCTGAATATGAGCTCTTGAGTGTATTTTTCCAACGTCTCCGAGAAATGCTGCGTCCAGCTTTCGCCACCGCGGCGACGGAGGTGCGGCTTAATCTCAATATTTGTCTTCTTGACAGTATTGGCTACCCAGTGGTGACTCTGGGCTTTGGCTTCAAGAGCTATGTGAGCTACAAGATGCGGCTAAGGAAACAGAAGGAGGTGCAAAAGGAGAACGAGTTCTACATGGAATTGCTCCAACAGGCTCTACCCCCTGAGCAGCAGATGCTGCAGCGACAAGAGAGGGAAGCAGAGGAGGGTGAGTAAACAATAACGAAACTGACACCGTGCAGCGTACATGAAAGTTTCCAGTTGAAGAAGGCAAAAAAACCCACAATTTTTTTTCGTGTCTTCTAATACCGCTTGTTTCTGTTCTTCCGTCTGCTTCAGCCAAGGGGATTTCAGAGACAGAACCTTCCATCGGGTCGCAAAACGGAGGACCCCCCAGCAAGAAAAGCGCCTGCATCCCCTTACCAGAACTGGAGTACAGGGAAAAGGGGAAGGACAATACTGGAAAAGAGCGTGAAGGCAAAAAACCAAACGCAATTGGAATCAATAACAACAACATTATACACTCACTGGACTCCAAACTCCAGGAGACGGAATATATTGAGAACTACATCAGGGCAAAGAAACTGAGCAACGACGCGGCGGGAGAGAACGCGCACGGCGACTCCAACGCCGTCACTGCTTCCAAAGAAGAAGTGGCGGCGAGTGGGAAGAACTACAAAAATGCCCCCGGAGGTGGCGCCTGCAACTCATCGCCGCGGAATCACAGTTTCAGCAACGGCAGCCTGCCGACGGCGGCTTCGTCGTCCACTAAGAATGACAAAAAGCAGAAGGGGGGCGGCAAAAGTCCAAAGGATCCGCTGGAAAACTGCATCCCCAACAACCAGCTGGGCAAGCTGGATGCTCTCGTACGGTAAGAGAGGACATTTCGGCGGGAGGATTGAGCCACCATTGGGTCAAGGCGTTCGTTCCAATGTGCTTCTCCTTTGAAAGTAGCTTTTGTGCGGGGGTGTAATGGTGCCGTTTGATTTTAGAACTGCCTGTTGGCCCTGGATAAGGTCCAAATGGTTGCCCTCGAAGTCCAATGAGTCCTAATGAAAGACAGAAACTCCTGTTACCCATCACTGTTGATGACCTTGTGTCCCCCTCCCCGGTATGAAAAGGATGGAGCAGGACGTGAAACGGCTCAAGGCAGACCTGCAGGCCAACAGGCAGGTGGAGTCGGACTTGCGCAGTCAGCTGTCCACCCTGAGCAGCCAAGACCGCAACCTTCGCTCTGAACTGGGCCAGCTCCAGCAGGACAACGAACTGCTTCAGAACAAGTGGGTGAATGTCCAAGCTGTCCCAAACTCATTTTCTAGACAATGACTTGTGTTAAAAACCATTGCAAACAAAAAGGGAACTTTTTGAAATATTTTTCTCTCTCAAGCTCTGAGCTCGGAAGCTTTTTTCAAAAGGCCATGTCTCATATTGGCAGAAACCTCTGCCAATATGGCGAAAACACAGTTATCAGGGCTGTTTGAAACTCCGCTTGAAAATGCACCTCCATGACTTGGACTTAGTGTTCCAAGATCCCCCCGTGACTCTTCAAAAATCAACACGTGCATGATACAAATGTGTCAATGTGCTGGTAAATTCTAAGCCTCGGCACTCACACGCTTTGTCGCGCTTGCTTGTACAAAAGAATCGCAGTTCTAATTGTTTTCGTTTCTGCTTGGGGACAATTTAGGAAAAGTCATCCAATTGTAGGGCGATAGTGTAGTCATTAAAGTTCTTTTGAATGGCCGTCAAATGTCAAAACGAGTTAAATTTGACCCGACGAAAGGTTTCATGTTAGAACCCGCTGCCACAGGCTCCACAGTTCCGTCCAGGCCAAGCAGAAGGATAAGCAGACCATCTCCCAGCTGGAGAAGAGGCTGAAAGCCGAGCAGGAGGCGCGGGTCCTGGCTGAAAAACAGCTGGCCGACGAGAGGAAGAGGAAGAAGATGGAGGAGGCCACGGCCGCCAGAGCGGTGGCGTTAGCCGCGGCCACCAGGTACTCGTTACCGAAACGTTCAAGCGGTCAATAAGGCAAATGGTTAGCGCTCACATTTTTGTTTTCCCTTCCAGAGTGGAGTCGACCGATTCCCTGCGTGGTCGTATCAGAGATCTGGAGACCGAGTGCAAGAAGCTCAGTATGGACGTGAAAGTCAAAGAGGAGCAGATTCGAGATCTGGAGGGCAAGTGCCAGGTAGGACCGAGGAGTCTACACGACTTGCTGTTTCATATGAAACGCAGCGCTGCCGTTAACAACCGGCGAATCTCGCCTGCAGGAGTTGCGCAAATACAAAGAGAACGAGAAGGACACCGAGGTCTTGATGTCGGCGCTGTCAGCCATGCAGGAGAAGACGCAGCACCTGGAGAACAGCCTGAGCGCCGAGACCCGGATCAAGCTGGACCTGTTCTCCGCTCTGGGTGACGCCAAGAGGCAGCTGGAGATCGCGCAAGGTCGAGAGGGAGGGTTCGAAATGGCGTGCGTCGCGCACAGCTTCGGTCCGCTCACACTTGGGTCTCTTCCTACGTATGCAGGCCAGATCCACCAGAGGGAGCAAGAGATAGCAGAGCTCAAGCAGAAGATCGCCGAGGTGATGGCGGTGATGCCCAGCCTCTCTTATTCGGCTGACAGCAGCAACCTGAGCCCGGTGACCCCGCACTACTCCTCCAAGTTCATGGACAATAGTCCCTCCTCCCTGGACCCCAACGCCTCAGTCTACCAGCCCCTCAAAAAATGACCGGGCTGACTTTTTTTTTTTTTTTCCGCTTTTCTTTGAAGCTCTTTGTTTCACTTCGGGTCATTCTGAGTTTACAAGCCTCCGACAGATTTTGCACTGAGAGACACAACTCCTGCAGACATATCAACATTTGAAAGGAGTGTTTTGAGTCGGGTTGTGAGGTTTCAGGCAGGTTGATTTCAATAAACGGGGGAATGAGGAATACTTTGTCAGCCGAGAAAGAGACATCGTGCGTCACTTTGCATCACCGTATTCCTCAACAGGCTTTTGTTTCGTATGAGTCCATTTGGGCTTAATTTCAAGGCACTTAAGCAATCAAGTTGAGAGATACATGAATGTAAGCCTATTCATTCTTTGGGATCCCTGTCAACGTGAAGCAATGATTGTTTGCTATCTAAAGTAGAAGAATTTCCCCCACTCGATTAAACGCTGTAGTTGAGACCCTGAGGATTAATCACGGCACTGCCAAAACACGATACAGTACATCACCTTGTCTCATGTTCTTTTCCATGTGGACCAAATTGCAACCTGTTAGGCCATATCCTTTGATGAATTTAATAATGATGTCTCGGTAACTGCTCGTTACCGTTCTTATTTTGCAGATTATTCAGTGCCTTTCAATTCTGCAATTTTTTTCAAAACGCTGCAGCCGGAT